GTGATTAGAAGCTGACCCTAACTCTTCCCTTTACTATCCAAAAGAAAAAAAGGGGTTTAGGTACAGTTTAAATATTCTGTACGTGTGCCATTATCTTCTTTTTGTATGATATGTCAGCCAATTGCTTGTTATGGAATTCAGGGCAGCTGCCACTCATGATGACCTCACGAAAGAACTGAAAGGCATTGCCTATGACCCAATCAATTGAGGTTTCAAGGGCTTCCCAAAAAACAAGTTGTTGAAGTTTGTAATGCTGGATAGTGCTGCAAAAGCACTCCTAGAGATGTTGGCCTCTATCAATCAACAGCAGTTTATAAATGGAATACATTTAGCATCATTGATACTCTTCCTAGAAATTGGTACCATAGAAAGATCAGTAGGCATTGTATATAATTTTTAATCAGGTGACCAAGAACCCTAGGATAACATCTAAAGATCTGTGTGCATCTCTTGAGCTATGTAATTTGTGTACATGAGTATACCAGAGAGAAACATATCAGCAACACATGCATTTGTAGACGTTCACCACAAAGAAAACCATTCATTCAAAAATCTTTTTTACATTTGCTGCATAACATTTGATGTTTCATACCAATAATGAAACAATGTGTGAAAGTACGACACCAAACTCAAACATATAAGTACTGTATGTGTGCACAGCTTTATTTATGGAGAAAACAAAACATTTAGTAATAACACCAAAACCTTATCCCAAGTTTGTAATATAGGATGCAGGATTATCATTGTGTGGGGGGATGATTTGCTGCCTCTGTCTCTGGATATCTCGAAATCACTGAGTGACCAGTTCATCCCAAGTTTTATCAGAAATTCTTCTACAGAATATCAGTACAGTGGTCTGTAAACTAAAACGTAAAATAATCAAAGGTCTAGAACACAACAGAAATTCAGAACACAGAATGGTTAAAAACCAAGGAAATCCCAAATTTTAAGAATGGCCAAGTCATAATCCTGACTTTATTCCTCATGAAATGCTGTGTCTTAATCTGAAGCCGTCTTTTCCAAATCTGACACCCCAAATATATATATGAAACTGTTTTGTAACAGGAATACCTCCTAAACTCTACCTCCTAAACTGCCTAGAATCTATAGGAAGCATATAATTGAGGTTATTACTTAATAAAGGATTCAACTACTTTTTTCCATCAATATTTTTTTTTTCTAGCAGTTTGGCTAGCGATCGTTTTAAAATAGCTATTGTTATGATGTATCCTGTTTATCAGTAACATTAGATTGCTAAGCTGTATTTATCGAAGGCCTTTTGGTTAGCTCCTGAAGCTTGTTTTTGTTTTATTTAGAAATAGTTTAATAACAGACGGTGCAATGTGGTGAGATCTTCGAAACATTATATCAGGAGCTATGTTATTTATAGAGCCCTGCTGCGAGCCAGTTACCAGTCCACCATATCCAGAGAGGGAAGCTCCTGTAAGTAGGCATCTGTACCCACCTATCCCTTAAAGGGACCTCTGGCCAGCTGGATTGTTCTACACCTCTGAGGGCTCATAACCTTACCACCCTGAGGGAGAATCACCCTGAGTTCCAGTCCGGACCTTTACCTGTGAAGGAGATCCGTGTTGATTTACACATTGCGTCATTGAATTGCGCTTCTGGTGAGTGCGTAATTCTTACCTTATCACTGGGAGCACCGCCATTGGACTGGATTATTAAATCACATTGTCTTCACTATATAGACTGTCATTGATATATGCCTTGATTATTGGGGACAATATTTATCATATTTTATTGTTCAGCGCTGCACTTTTCTATTACAAAGATATCTAGAAGGACAATCGTGTCAGGACTTGTGTCATCACCTGGGTCACCTGCTGGTGGCAAAGTTGGTCCCGGAATTGAAGGGTGCAGTTCCAGTGACCACCAGCAGGTGGTTTATAAAGCTGCCCGTAACTGAGGTTCAGTGCTTCCATGTTCTTCCTGCAAGTCATGTCCCTGCCAGAGTCTGATCCTTGTACTTGACCCTGAAACCTGCTCCTCTGACTTGCTCCCTGTATCCTGCTTCCAGCTCCCAGTACCTGACTCCCTGCTCCCCTTATGTCCTGACCTTGTCTTGTTTATATGTGCTCCCTCCGTTTTGTATATACTGTAGTTAAGTTAGGTTTGATTTGGTTTGATCATGTTTATTTGTCAATTGCATTGTTTATGGTTTACTGGTGTTGGTGTTGTCTTTAACCATTTGTCTTAAACGTATTTTAACTTTACTCAGCCTGCTTCCTGATTTCCTAAGGTACAGCCCACTGATCTGGTCATCCTTGCTGGATGCCTGTGGTATCCCTGACAAAACAAAAGCCTATACAATAGCCATATAAGCATTAACATGTCATAGTTTATCATAGATAGCATGGTGAATAAAATATAAAGCCCAACGTAATGGCCCCGAGTGATATATATCTCTAGTCAACTCAGAAAGATTGAGAGTTATGGTGTGATGTTCATAAGAACTGTATGTAATAAAAAAAATAACAATTGTAGGCGGGGGCAGACAGACCACTGCCCGAGGGCCCAGGGTCAGTAGGGGTCTCCATGAGATGTCCCTGGTACCTTTCATAGGCATTTTTGGGTGCGGTTTGAGTGTGGGTGAGAACACAGGGGCCCCATGATCCCCTATTGCCCGGAGGCCCCATGAGTTGTCAGTGCACCCCTGATTGTAGGAGTCCTACTTTAAAGTGTAGTGTTTACCAGCTGAGTTGATCAATTTTTAATAATAAATTTGATTAATTTTTCTGTTTGGTTACATGTCATTACCCCACACATCAGAGCAGTCTTGGTGATACTTGTATGATACATGTATTATTTCGTTAGGTCATATTTAAAATAACAAGGTCCCGTTTTAACATTAATTAAAAATGTTTAGGTTCATCAGTATATCCAAACTAACAGCACTGACAAGTTGCAGGCATTTGTTAGTGGTTACAAGTACTTTTCTAATTAATATATAGCATTTCAGTAGTCCAACAACAAAGCCTTAGTATATCCTGAGTTTACACTATTAACATGCCTGTCAGACCTAGACATAAGCACTATGCCTTGCCATTCCAACAGTCCAGCAACATAGCCCTAGTGGCCAGTGGCTATATAAATGTGGGAACAGTGTCAGCAGATTCTACCCTTTATTCATTTTATCAAAGGCCCTGTGGTGGTCAATTTGTATACTGTTATGATGGTATGCTATTGGATTGCTCTTCAGATATTGTGCTGATCTGTTTCCCTCCAAGTCTGGAGACTTGTTGTCTGAGTTTGGTGATAATTCCCCAAGCTTTAGGTTTCAGAAGAACTGTCAGATTCAATGCCAGAATGGATTTCACTTTGATTGTCAATGGAACATGTATATAAACTGGTGAAATTAATGTGCATCAGCTACATTGCTGTAAGTATATCCCTCTGTTTTGCTTTAATTTCAATGTGTTTTATAATTGGTAACTTTCCTCATGACGAATAGGAAATTGTTTCAAGAATGAACATATACTGAATCATTTGTTTTGCAGGACAAAGAATCTGCTTGTGGCCAAAAGACATGACCAATCTTAAAGTGAACCTGTTCTTAGGATCATACAACTTCACACCTACCTTTTTCTTCCATGCCACTTCATCCAGCCACCAGAAGCAAAGAGAGAAAACCCCAGGTAGACTCCCGAGAAGTCCCAGCCTGCTGCCATTTAACAGCACTGGGCTAATCACCAAGCAACTGAGCTGTTACAATGGTAGAAAAAGGGTGTGTGACATGCTTCTCTATAACTTTACACAGAGAAGGTACAGTACCTATAGAAAGTTTTATTGTCATAGAAAATGGAATCAACATGGATTTGATTTTTCACGCTGATCAACAGAAACCTATTCAATTAGTTATTTTAATTAAATGAAAACATTTATGAGAGATCTGTATTCACTTTGTTATGAGTCTATTTTTGTTGATTAATATGAAACAAATTACAGTAATCCTTCTGTGAATCAATGTTCTACGGCAGAGGTCTCCAAACTTTTCAAACAAAGGGCCAGTATACTATCTTTCAGACTTTAGGAGGGCTGGATTAGGGCCAGTGAGGATAGAAAATCCCCAGCATCAGTGAGAATAAAAACATGGCCGCAGGGTTGATGGTCAGTAGGAGGAGTAGTGCCCCATCATTGGTATTAGTGGGAAGAATAGTGCCTCATCATTGGTATCAATGGGAGAAGTACTGCCCCATTGTTGGTCTTAGTGGGAGGAAATGTGCCTCAAGGGCCGGATAAAGGTTAGCAAAGGGCACCATCTGGCCCTCGGGCCGCAATTTGGAGACCCTGTTCTACTGCAATAAAATATTATAATTTCTAAGGTGAGTATTTTTTCTAGGCACTGTATAGGCTTCTGCGAATGGTAGCAACAAAGAATCCCCAGCGCCAAGTTCCAAACACTGTAAATAACTAAGTGAGGGCTGCAAATAATGCCTGGCCGCTGTTTAAAACACTTGGAGTGGTGACCGCATATAAAGGTAAACAACAATGGTTATATAGTTACTGTTTCTATCAATGTTTTTGAGTGCTGTTGTTGTTTAACTTTTCTGCAAATGGTGGAGTTAGGTCAACCTGTCAAACTGACTATCATAGACAAAACAAATGGGGAAACTTGAGGAAAGAAACTTGAAGTTGGTAAACATGGCTACTAAGCAATTCAATTGTTTCCTTTTTTAAATTTTAGATTAAACATGATGGGTCACTAAAGGCCCGTTTTGCCTTTTGCTTCACTTTTTATGGATCATACCATTGTAGTTCTTCTCTCCTTTAAATTTAGCAGACATTTTTAACCATACCATTCCATTAATTTCTATGTTCAAGCTTTGTTCGTTCCCTTCCTAACAAGTGGTCAGTACTAATGATTTATTACTATTTCTTCACATACAGTATTATATGCAGTTTTCTGTGTGATTGCTTTTCTAATTTTTGGCTGTGGATTTGGAAATTGGGAACACATAACAGGAAAGAGAATTTTGTGTTCAGAAGATGCATGTACAGCCGACTGCAATATTTTCCATGACTGTTGTGTATTCTTTAGGACACTTTTTCCTTCTTCTTCCTCGTTGACCTGCTGAGTTGCTGTCACACAGTCGTCTGCGCACAGGGATCTTGCTGTAGATTGGAATACTGGACATGCTGTGGTCCTCCTGCATGGTGAATGGGTTGATGCAGCCAGTGCACAGGCAACGAGCCTCTGGTATAGATGCAGGGATGCGGTTTGCATCATGATTGATACTGAAAAGGGATGTTTAAATATATTATTACCGAGCTTTCCCATCAAGGTTCATAACAATATGCTTATCTTGTCAAATGCGACTACAAAATGAAAGACTTACATATAAAAACTGCATCAGTGACACCTAGTGCAGTCTGGTATGAAGCCCATAGCCCATAGATTAGACTTTTTTTTTTCCGTTCAACCAGTAGGGTAGCCTTCCTAGCGGTCTGATTATGTCAGTATTTCTGTGCTGAAAGCGGTACATTTTTTTTAATGGAAATATGTTAGTTTTTCATTGTAGGCCTGTAATTTTTAGGAATAACTCACTGAAATCTGTCCGAACAAGAGTCTAGTAAACATCCTGGGTATGTTAAAATTTGAACCACGAAATAATAAATTATAATTTAATAAATAATAATAATATAATAATAAATTTAATTCAATAATATAATCAAATCAAAAACACTGAAATTTGAAATATAGCTCCAAGTTTGCACATCACTGAGCAAAGTCACAAATCGTTTTCAGTGTCCGATGACGAATTTCCCCACGAATCATCACTCAATTCTGCAAGTGCTTCTAATTTACTATCGCTGTTCTCTAGCTGGTCTAAAACCGCTTTTGACATAAAGGGACGCCTTTTGAACGCCATGGACATTTCTCAGTTTCAAGGCAGAAAGAACAGTAAAAATGCAGGCAGGGCACAGGACAAAGCAGTAGTGACAAAATGTATGTGAAATGGTTTGATACAGTAATGTTTTACTATGTGATATTAGTGTATTTAGTGAATGTCACTTTTTGACAATTTTAAATTTCCCATCAGTTCCATCCCCGTACATCCTAACGTCGCAGGGAACGGAACCAGGAAGACAGATGCCGGCATCGGTCGGAGGACATTGCCGGGAACGCTGCAGGAGGGACATCGCGGGAGCGCAGGACAAGGTAAGAGAAGAACAGATCCCGGAGCAATGCTGCAGGGTAAGCCCGAGTGTAGCTCGGGGTTACCGCTTGTGGTGCTGAAACTTTACTCCGAGGTACACTCGGGAATACCTCCAGGGAGGTTAAACGAAAAAAACTGACTTGATTCCCCCATACACACACCCGATGTGGATGGCGGAATCCTCCCCGCTGAACAGTCACTGTACCCATACATGGATCAAAATTTGTCCGCTCCCTGTTGAACAGGTCAAATTTTGATTCAAGTATGGCCGACTTTAGGGCTCATGTACACTACAGCTGATAAATTCACGTTTAGGAGCTGTTCAGCGTTTTTTTTTTTTTTTTTTTGCAGCAGCCCCTGAACTCTCCCTAATGATTTCCATGTACACATCTTTGTTTACAGTCGTTTACAGGTATTTGAGTTTTTTGAACGCAGAAAACTTGTGTTCAGCAGTCGATTTTATCAGCATTTCAAACGCTAAAGGTGGCAAATCGCGTTTATAAGTGTTTGCTAATTTTTTTTAACTCTTCCAGTTCCCGATGCTGTCCAGAGCCTTTTTTCATCATGAAAAATGCATGCAAAGCATTTTCAAAGTACTCAAATGGACAAAACACTGAACACAGGGTGTTCCTACCAAGCTTGTCACACATTGAAATGATCAATTCACACCTCAGCCTCTCCCACCCTTGAAAAAAAAACATATGTTAATGCCCATTCACACCTCAAGTTCCTCATGAAGACCCCCTGCCAGGTGGCCTTAATGACTCACTCCACTAGACACCTTTCCCACCATTGGAAACAAAAGAAATGTTAATGAACAACTCACACCTAAGCTAATCTCAACACATACTGCTGTCTCTGCTTCTACTCTCTGTATTTCTATGAAACAGTCCGAAATAGTTAATAATTTACCACTTTTCAGTTCATTCTGGGCATCTGGGAGGTTCTCCTGTGCGTATCTTAAAAAACGCTTCTAAACGCAAACACGCATAAACACGGTATGCAAACAGACGTTTTTTACCCTACATTTTCCAACAGTCAGTTTCCATTGTTCAGAAGTGTCACGTGTACATGGGGCCTGAGATTCAGAAAAGTGGGATGCTGGGTAAAGAAAACAGTGATCTGATTACAGTTTTTAATTTAGATACTAGCTGCTTTTAATGTGTTGGAATGGCTGGTATACTTTTTATAAGAAAAATCTTTACTTTTTAAGCAATGAAAATGTAAAGTTGAATTACAGGCATGCAGCTAAATACACAGTTGAAATACATATATGAGAGCTGGTTTACCCTCCAAAGGATCTGTATTTCTGTCCATCCAGTCTTATGAGTTACTAAGCCCTGCTAGAGAGCATATTGCTTCCACTCCCAGCTTGAGCACTTCTCTACAGGGGATTGCAAGATCCCAATACTGAGTCAAATTCATGTACTTACATTAGTTTATTTTAAACACATTAAGTGATTTTTTTAAATAATACATACCTGCATTCATTTGTTTTTTTACATCTGTTTTTTAGAAAATAAATTCTGTTGGAGGAAACCGGTACTGAGAAAATATGAAGGCTGCCATTGCTGAGCTATTTTCAGAAATACTAGTTGCATGGTTGTCATGCCTATTCAAGAGCTGCAGTACTCTGTATGTCAATGAATTTGATCAAGCATGAATATTATTTTTATTATTATACAGTATTTATAAAGCGCCAATAGTTCGCTCAGCGCTGTACATTACAAAGGGGGACAGAAAATGTGACAGAACAATACCAATACAATGCAAAACATGAGGGGATCGAGGGCCCTGCTCTTTCGATCTTACAATCTAGGAATATTATAGCATGTGGCTTTATTTAGAACATACAAAGTGTTGAAATTGCTAGTAAAAACTTTTAGCTGTGGGAATCATATGTCCCAGGTTTCAGGAAACTCATCCTTGCCTAAATCACTGCTATATATACAAAACAATGATTGTTACCTTACTGACTTTGTAACATTCCTTAGTCTGAACAGAGAGAATCCCAGCTATTCCAGTGGTATTACATATACGTCAATAGAAATAGAACATCTATGGGTACCACTTGTTCATCTAGTTAGTTTGCACTTGCATACATTCAGCACACGTTTACTGAAGATTTGCTTGGTTTCCTAATTTGCCTTCACCTTCAGCAACCTTTTCTTTTCATATTTTTCAAAGCCAGGCAAACCCGGGCCAGCCAATGTGCCTGGATGCACCCACCTTATACCTTTTTTTTTTTTCTACGACTATTTTCCTATTATTTCCCAATTATTCTCGTTACCTCTAGATTTTGATGCTTAACACACTTCTTTACCCTAACTATTCAGAATGTTTTTATACTTAAAAAGCACTGAGTAGATTAACAAAATAGTTGCAAATTGTTGACATACACTCATCGGCCACTTTATTAGGTACACCTGTTCAATTGCTTTTTAACAAATTGCTAAACAGCCAATCACATGGCAGCAACTCAATGCATTTATGCATCTAGATGTGGGGAAGATGACTTGCTGAAGTTCAAACCGAGCATCAGAATGGGGAAGAAAGGGGATTTAAGTGACTTTGCATGTGGCATGGTTGTTTGTGCCAGACGCGCTGGTCTGAGTATTTAAAAAAAACTGATCTACTGGGATTTTCACGCACAACCATCTCTAGGGTTTACAGAGAATGGTCCAAAAAAGAGAAAATATCCACTGAGCGGCAGTTTTGTGGACGAAAATGCCTTGTTGATCTCAGAGATCAGAGGAGAATGGGCATTCGATTTCAATTGCGACGTTCAGATGGTAGGGTCAGAATTTGGCGTAAACAACATAAAAGCATGGATCCAGCCTGCTCTGTATCAACAGTTCAGGCTGGTGTTGGTGGTGTAATGGTGTGGGGGATATTTCCTTGGCACTAGCAAGGTGTACCTAATAAAGGGGCCAGTGAGTGTAGAGACACATGACTGAGTTACCTGTTGTGTGTGCCTGTTGAATTTAATGGCTCTTACTGTCATAACTAGCCAATGGTGACACAGATAATGATATAGGACCAGCACACCCTAATGAACATGCCTCGTAATAGGTCACTCACAGAGTCATCCATGAATATGGATATCTTTTGACTCCAGTTTCTGTAAATACCACTGTGGCTCAGCAGTGCTTGTCTTATGTAGGCATGACTCTTGAGCTGACAAAGGTTGGGCACTTGTGGTTAAAGGTAATAAAAACAGCTCCTCAACTATTTTCTCTGCCTGATTTTCTCTATTTAGAAAGGGATGTTTATTGTCTGCATATTTGCACATTTAAAAAACCAGAAAGGTCACACTGTAGCAAAAACAGTGAGCTGTTTATAAAGAACATTATCCTATTCATATGTTACCTGGATCTTTAGAGGGTTTTCAAGCACCTTATTCAGAAAGCAAGTCGCTACTTGAAAAATGAATGTGTGGGGAGTCCTGACTTGTTGTGTAGTGTCTGGCAGAGGATAAAGGACATTGAGAAGAGAAGCAAAATGTGTGTGTTAAACCTGGAGAGAGAAGAAAAAGTGATTTAAAAAAAGCACAAGGTGGTGACAAGCATTTGGGAGAGGTTGTAAAATTGCCGGATGGTTACATGAGATAGATGCATGAGTAGAGTGTAGAGGTTTTGGCAGGCTTAAATTCTATGTCATCTCAAGATTTGTCATAGACTAACAAGTGCAATAGATGTTTGCACTTACAGGATAAGTAGAGTTTATGAAGGTATATTAAAATATATCATTGTATGTGACTCATTGAACAGGAAATATACCTATGTAATGCTATATCTGTTTCATATATGTTCCGATGGTTTAAATTTCTTATATATCTTAGGAACTCAAGGAATGAGATCTTCCTGCCAGAAATCTCAGTCTTGCTTTACCCCTCCATGAAGTCTCACTCTAATGGATGCATTGTCTTTAATGTAAGAGTATCGTAAGCTCAAACATTGCAATAGTGAGGCTCCCAGATGAGAGAAATTGTAAGTGTAAAGCCTAACTCGACTTTAAGGGCCCGTATTAATGAGCTTTTGTGCACTAGAAATTGCTTTTATGTTCCCTTAAAAGTTTGTGGAATGCAAAACCTGCTTGAAGCAGGTCAAATGCAGGTCAGAAGAAAGTATACTGCTGATGTCAACGAATTCTCAGTCATCTCAAAACAGTTGTCATATTGATGCCATTGATAAATGGTTAGCGTCATGCAACCTCAGAAGAGAAACAGTCACCATCAAAGGAGTAGGATGGAGTTTTTGCACTTTTGTCAGTCAAATAAAATGCAAAACTCCCTCTGACTTTTAAGTGGAGGATAGGCTTAAACTTGTTTCTGAAGTACCATATGCAAGTCACATTTCTCAGATTTCCAAAAAAAAAAAAAAAAAAAAAAAAAAAAAAAAAGACCAGTTACTTATTGGATGCAATAGGCACTGTACATGCTTAACCACTTCCAGACCGGACACTTTTACCCCCTTCCTGTCCAGGGCAATTTGCAGCTTTCAGCGCTATCACACTTGAATGACAATTGCGCGGTCATGCAATACTGTACCCATATGAATTTACCATTTTTTTGAGACATAAAGCTGTATTTTGGTGGTATTTATTCACCGCTGGGATTTTAATTTTTTTTGCATGTAAATGAAAAAGTCCAAAAATTTTGAAAAAAAGTGTTTTTCTTATAAAATTTTGCAAATAAATAATCTTTCATTTTTTAGTAAACAAAAATAAGCCAAATTAGTTTATAACCAAAAATTATAATTTTTAAACATTTTTTTTACATTTGTATTTTAGTTTTTTACATTATTATGTTTTTTTTTTTACATACTGTCACCCTAGCAGTACAGTGTCACCATGGTGACACTGTACTACTTGTGGGGGGCAATGAAGATTTTTTTTTTTTTTTTTTTACAGTGCTTTTACACCCATATAGGATGTAAAAGCAATAATTTCTCTTTCTCTCTGTCTGCATTCTTGCAGCCATTGAGAAATACTGTGAGAGCTGTGATTGGTCACAGCTTGTCACATGGTACAAGGCTGTTGTGAATAGCCTTGTACCATGTGACCTCTGTGATCATTCACAGATTTCACACGTAGTAAGCAATGATGTCAGAAGTGACATCTTGCTTACTACTTTGCATGTGATCACTGATTGGCCAATCGGTGATCACATGATCGGGACCTCGTACAGAGGTCCTGTCCAACGATCGGTGTTTCACTGTGTCTGGAGGACACAGTGGGCACTGGATCGCGGTGCTGCACGCTCCCAGGGAGAGCACACAGCTAGAAATGGCGGGTGCCGTTTAGCCGTTTAGGCTACAAGATGTTGGGGATTAAATGGAAGAAGGGGCAGAGGGCTGTGGCTCTGTGTTAACCCAGAGTTTGCCCAGGGAATTGGTGAGCTCAGCTTTTATGTACCAGTCACTAAGAAGAGATTGCAGCCTAGAATGAAGAACAGCCAAGTGGTTGAACGAGTATACCGAGGCAGGGGCGGACTGACAACTCATGGGGCCCCCGGGCAATAGGGGATCATGGGGCCCCTGTGTCCTTGCCCAAACTCAAAAAAGCCTATGAAAAAGGTACCACGGGCATCTCATGGGGCCCCCTACTGACCCCGGGCCCTCGGGCAGTGCCCTAGTTTCCAAATTGTCAGTCCGCCCCTGTACCGAGGCACCTTCTAGATTAAAGTTAGAATACCAGGACTGTCCTGATATCCAGTCTAGGCCTTGTCTCAGTAAACATGATAGATTGTAAAACCTAATGTTGGGCAGACCCGCTCCACCTTTGCTGTTAGGGGGAGACAGTTTTTGAACGGCAATGCGGGGCTTCTTTTTACACCATAGGAAGGCCGGTAGAGTGGAGTGGATTTTCTGTACATCCAAGCGTTTTAAGAGGATTGGAATAGTTTGCATAAGGTAGAGTAATCTAGCAAATGGTACCACTTTATAAAGGTGGCATTTCTCAAAAAAAAGATTTGGGAATGGCTGGCCATGCTTTTAACTCCTGCACAATCTTGTTGATTAGGTGAAGATAATTGAGGTGGTATAAAAAAAGATGACTCCAGTTCAATCCTTATGCCCAAATAGGCAATAGATTGTTTCACTACAAAATGGCAAGGATGACAACCAATGTGTTCAGAGCTAAGACTTTGCTTTTGTCAAGGTTAATCTGTAGTCCCAAGCAGGTGCGGAAGGTCGCAAATAAACCTTGCAGTTTCATTAAATCAGATGGGGGATTGAAGGAGAAAAAATAGAACATCATCAGTAAATAAGGCCAGCCGTAGAGTATGATTGCCAATCGTGACGCCGTTAACCCCGTCGTTCAAGTTAAGAAGTTGAGATACTGGTCCTATTGCAATATTAAAAAGAAGGGAGACGGGGCAAGAAGGGGAGATGGGGCAGCCCTGTTGAGTCTTTTTGTTAGAGGAATGACTGCCAACTGAAAGTCAGGGGTCACTAATCATGTTGTGGGGGAAGCGTACATCTTTTGAACAAAATCTAGTATGGGCCCGAGAAACCAAGCTTCCTCATAACCATAAATAGCCAGACAAAGCTAATGTTGTCAAAGGCCTTTCTGGCATCTAGAGAGAAGAGAGCTAGATCTTGAGTAGGAAGGGGTTTAATATTTCAATAGCAAAAATCAAATTTGATTTAACAAATCCTCTACCTTTATAACAAAGATAGTAAGTAGTCTTTAGGCCCAGCTGCAGCATTGCTCTTGCCAAACATTTCATTTATACCTCATTTATTAATGAGTGCCTAAAGAATACGTTAAACCAATCTCTTTTTTGCTATGTTTCGGACAGAGTAGGGAAGGATTAGAACCGAATCAAATTTATATTCCTACTGTGTAAATTGCCTCTCTTTATTGGTCCTGGTGACCACTGTTACCAAAACAGAAAGTTATGTGTAATCCAAGACATTTCAGTTGCCACCTAATCAAGATGGAATGGTAAACCTTCTTAAGGGATGCCTGCTGACAACTGTCGAAGAGGGAAATTCCCCTTACTTACCACGGATCTTCTCTCCCTTTCTTTTGCATCTCCATGTCTAGATGAAAAGGGAAATTTCCCTAATGGAATACAGACAGTAAAAAGTAACCCTTCTCTATCCTATCTAAAGCTAAAAAGAAAAGTTTGAGCTAAATATATGCTTAACACCTGTACTGGAAAAGAAATGAAACATTTCAATCTGATAATATCTGTGGAGAAATACAGGCAGCTATTTTGTATGTTTTGGTAATTAGGATTTATTTTTATGGCATATGACACATGAACCATGGGTATCTCAGTAGGACAGTATTTGGTCTGTAAAACATTGGAAAAAACTCTGCTTTTAATCTTAATTACCTTAATCCCCACTTCATATTTTTTTCTGAATTATTTTAACACACGCACGTCGACTGCATACAGCAATTCTTCTTTTCTTTTATCATATGTGTTGTAGTTTGGCACAGACATTGTTCCATCCATGAACGGAAGTGGACGAAAAAACTGTTGTAAACAGACGACATCGATTTGCCCATAGGAATACATTGCTGTCCATTTTTCATCCGTCAACAGATGGATGAAAACCGGACAGACTGAACATCCATGTAAAAGAACCCTAAAGCTGGCTGTGCAATCTTCATTAGATCTACCAACAACAATAAGGACCTACTTTATTGATGAAGAATCAAGTGAAAATATTTACATTGTGCAGAGATTTCATTTTAACCCCTTGGCGCCGACCGCCTCTCGGCTCTTTAAGGGTTCTAAAAGCTGGGATGAGGAGGTGGGCCTTGTTTTGTGACAACTGTGATTGGCTGTCACAGCAGTCACATGATCGGAAAGCTCCCGATCACAAGTATGGATCGGTAGCTTAGTGATCACCACCGGCTACCGTGCTGGGAGCGTGCTCTCAGCACGATAAGTAGTTTTAAAGGGGCTGCACTATTGCTGCTCAGCCGCTTTGGGCTTCAACAAAATGGCAGCCTCCAGCAAGAAGAAAAATGAGCAATGTTGGAGGCACTTGACAGCACACACTAATTTTGAAAGTAATATTTTTTAACAAGTTGTTGTGGGTAAAGTTTAGTTTTAAAAAGATCTCACTAAAAACTAGTCCTGTGCTGACTTCAAACACAGTGATAGCAATTTAAAACAATAATACCACAGCACAGTAAAATCTGCCTACGTTGAATATTTTGTTAGTGACCAATGTTACCTGTAAGTCCAGGGTGAAAGACTTCTCCTATTAGATAGCCAGAGTCTCAGGTTCACTTCACATCGATCACTTGAGGACTCAGAGTTGTTCTTTAGCTGGTTCACCATCTCATTTAAACTTTGCTCATATTCTTCCACTAAACTATAAAACTGAAACGGGGCAAACGAGTTCCCTCCTAGTACTGGATCTGGAGATGCTTTCCCATGGCCTTTTTCCTGGAAGGTGCCTGGATTCTCCTTTCCCTTGCCATGTCCTTTATTTCTGTTCTTAGATGGTTTTGAAATCTCTGAAGTGAAGACCATGGTCAGCAAAAGAGAACAAGTGTACACCAGCAACTATGAAGAAACATTGTATTGTGTCAGTAAATGGTAAACATAATAGTCATTCCTACTTACATTTAAATTTTAATGGTATCTATCTCCAAGAATACAAAATGTTATAAATTGCAGCTTGTAAGTCCTTAGGTGTAATGGCTACATTTTTTTTAAGGCTAAGCGCTTTTTGTAGGAGTACAGAATAATACTTATACAGAATATTGCAGTGGGTTCATTTCTGTGTTGGCACTCTAGGGCAGGAAGTGTGTTATTTGTTAGTCACCAGGTCAAAAATTAGGGAATGAAGACCTGAAAAAAAGAAATGAATGTAGCTGTTAAATCTAAGGACTGGTAAACTACAATATACTACATATTTGGTTGGAGGTTTAGATACACATAAAGCCCCCACCAAGTTAGGAATACAAGAAATTAGATTTTTATTAAATCTGTATAAAAACAAATTGAACATATTTTGAATAGAGGGTGATTAGGGCAGTGTGTCTCAAGTAATGTATCTGGGCACTAAATATGTTCATCAGGATATCACTTAAAAAAAAAAACAGTTGTGTTATGCCTGGAGCATAGATTGAAACACCAACTTTTGATTGCTTGAGGATATACTTATATATGGATCCTTGCAGTAAAGATCCCTTACTGCCAAATTTCTAAGCTTATTTCCATTATCTGTCTTCATATTCCACCATAATTGTGTAATTACCAATTTACTTCAATGGGAAATCTTTTGACACTAACAATTTTATTACATACATCAAGAGTGTGAATCCAAGGGAAGGGAAAAGGATAAACTACTTTATTTGGTTGCACTCTGCAAAAGCATGCATGGTGTTTCAAGGATCAATCCCTCTTCTTTGGACAGGTATAATAAATATAAGATAGGTATTTTAACACTGACAGGTACAGAGGTTGGTTGAAAAACTTTATGCAGAAGCTTTCCCATAGGTCTCTGTAAGTGTAACATCATCCAGTGACATGGTGATCACAGTTTGAACTATAATACTTTTCCTGCTATTCCTGGTAATATAACACCATATGTAGCACCCAGGTGCTAGAAGCATTTCCAAGTAAAACTTAGTATACAACATAGGTTTTCCATTTATTTTTAGGAACCAAAACACACAAAAGCAATTATAGTAAATATTTATTCAGACATGAGCGTATCCATTCCATGTCTTCAGAATTCTCCTCAATTTCCAGAAAAATTAACGTTGGTGGAGAGGGAGGTGAATGGAGATAATTAACCGATACACAACAGACCCATATCTGCCTGTCATAGAAGCATACTGAGGAATGAACAAATCATTTTACTGTGTATTTTCACTAATAACCGCATTTACCTGGCAGTCATGGTGACACTAATGACAATTTTTAGTGATCATTTAGCAGTATGCAGGCTCTACTCTCCCCTTTCCACTGTATTTATTAATAACCAATTACAGGATACCCATTTTTGAATGTTCTTTACAACACAAAAGCAGAGGTGACATATATTAACCAACAAGCAACTAGAGAGTTTGGTTGGGTGACTTTATGCAATCTCAGTTAATTTATGATGGCCTTCATAAGGTATCCTGGGATGGGAAGGAGTTAAAGATATAAATATTTGTTTTAATACTTCCTGCAATTAGGTGTAAATAAGTATTCAGGATGAGAAGACATACAAAACGTATCTACTGATTTCTGTTAATGATACGACACGTTCATATAAACATCCTCCTCCCAAGAGCGAAACCATAACACATACAAGTAATACAAGTAAAGTTTGCAGGCTATCCCACTGAGAATGAAGTATCTGTGTATGATCTGATAGTAAGTTGTATAACCAAATTAAACATCGTCTAAGGAGGTTTAGCAATTATTTTATTATTAAGATTAACTAGACAGAGATTACCAGTGCTTTTCGAAGTTTAGAAATGTGTTTATTGCCAAGAAATGTTACATCAAGTCAGCAAATATATGGAGTAAAGGAACCTTTACCCCATGTGGAATACATCCACTTACTGGCACAGAGGAAAGCTCGCAGTATGTTCCAACACTCTAGATCACCATATATTATAATATGACTTTCTCTAGTTTTTCTTTAATTTGTACTGCTTGATGTAGAGTAAGTTTAGCCAGACCTTATATTTCACTGTTTAGAGGAAGGAACTATCAATTGCTTTCTTTCAGGTTTGTCATGGAATATAGTCATAAGACCATTACTTTCTGAGCTCTCATGACTGCCCATCAGTAATGGCTATCCAGAGTCTTGCTTTTGTCTTTAATGGAGAAATCTACAAGAGGTCCAAGGCTCCAAATTATAGAAGGAAAACTCCAAGGTGATGGAATCTGCGAGGCGTTACAGCAAAGATATGTGACAAAAAGTCCTCCAAAAAAAATAATAAAATACGTTTTTGGATGACTTAAGTTGCCAGCAGTGTGAACCTTCTGCAAGTTACCCTTATAACCTTAATACAAACCCTCCTTGTAAACTCTCCCTTATTGTAAACTCCCTAGAAGGATTCTCGGCTCTGAACAATATCTCTTCCCATTATTAGATACCAGCAGTAATGCTGGACTCTACTGTTTTGATCTGATCATGGGCACCATATTGTGAAATCTCTACATCTGATTAGATTTTGTTCTGTTTATTAGAGTCCATGTCACATGGGCGATTCTAATGCTGGCAACTGCTCAACTAACTTTATTCTGTGGAATGTGTTCTTCAATGCACTAACCCAAGTATGTCTCACTTGTCTTTCTGTAGTGGGTTGATCATTGATGGAGCAACATCCACTAATGATAATGAAACACTTACAGTTGTACTTTAGTCAAATATGATCTAAACTTGGAAAAGAAAAACATAGTAGATCAAGTATCTGTAATCTTAATGCAAATAGGCAGATCTGTCACTGCCAGAGTTTCTGGGTGAGAGACCTGCTTTTCTATGGTGTCCTCTTGAGCAAAAAACTTTTTAATGGAAGCAACTTACACTACAGTTATTTGCCACATGCAATGCTCATTTCAGTTTGTCAAATACACATTATTTGCTGACTGAAGGGTTCTCATCAACTTCAAAAAGTAAGTCTGAAGAACATAATGTTTATCTGCATTCAAAGTCACCTTTGTCATTACGAGGTCGTTGAGAGATTGCTTACGTTTTATAAGCATTCCACTTACAACAGTGAATGCCTGACCTACTGACAGATTCCACCTTAGCTGATGAATTGCAGGTATTATCTATAACTATACTCTTCCTTGTTTGGTGACAAGAAGGTATTTGAAAGCAAGCAAGGTAAGTCTTCATATTGGGCACTAAACTAGAGCAAACTAATTTTGACAGTAATGGGAAATCTATAATAAACACACACTATGTACCTAAAAGTAAAACTTTAATTTTAAAGTATTATACCAATTTCTCCATATTCACAGTTTTCATCATATAGATCATCTAATCAACCTTAATGAGCTGTTTACTATTTCAGTATCCACCTTTACATTTGCTGTAGTATTTAGCAGATTATATCCAGAACAATGTAAATAACTAATTATAACTGGTGCAGTGGTAGTTATATTTAGTTATATTAACTGTCTATACCCAGTGCAATTATATCCAGATGCCATTTTTAGATTTTCAGTGAAGTTTTACTACCAGACTCTATCTGGTGCCATACTAACATACCCAATATGATGGTAGGAAATGGATTATATTCTGTGCAATGTTAATATATTGTACAATTTTGATTAGCATATTATATGCAGTAGAGTGGTTATATACAGATTAAATGCATTGCAACGATAATTAGCAAATGATATCCAGTACAATGGTAATTACTGTATTCTACCTAGTACAATGGTAATCAGCAGATTATATCCATGACTTTGGTAATTAACTTGTTATACATAGGCAGTTATAAAATACAAAAACACAGTACTGTGTCAGATGTAAAATACTTGGTAACACACAACATATGGTCATGACAAACGTTGAACCTGACCACAGGTAATGCCCACATATGATTCTACATAGGTACCTACTGAGCACAATGACCTTGTGAATGCTATAAAATGTATTAGAGAACTTACCAGCTTATGGTAGCCAAACATTCTGCCAAGAGAGACTAACAGATGCAGCTGCAGACTAGACAGACTTCAGGGAATCTCCCCCAATATCAGTGGGTCACAAGCTGCACCTACTCCAGTCCCTCCAATAGGGCTGGGCCCAATGCACTGTGAAATCAGTTTTCTAAAGGTGCTGAGTACAATGTTAACAAAGGCCCAGCTTGTCCCTTTTCTCCTTATGTTCTGTGCCTCTTGTTTTTGTCCCTGACTGTACATGCAGGGACTGTTTGCTGACTGGGAACACGGTGCACAGCGGCTCTGTTCTCACACTTGACACACAGACCTGGCTGATATATACTGTTTGTTTGCTTGTTCTTTAAATGTGGGGATTGGAATCTTACAATTAACAGTTCAATGAAGAATTGTGAAAATGTAATATTACCAGCTGTGGGAGAGGGTAGCATATCCCTTTACACAATCTGGGTGGCTGTGGCTAATTTAGGAACAGGCATGAGTAGATGCTGTGTGCTAGAAAGTATTACAATGTATGCTAGGTGTTCGTGGTATCTTTTATAATGCTTGTATTTATGTATGCGTTGTATTACAGCAACTGATAACTTTATGTAGAGAATATTTAAAGGGAACCTTCCAGAAAAGAAACATGGGAGCCGTCATTGCTGAATTCTTTTTAAAGGTGCATGCTACACTGATAAACATTGAGGGTGATTTACTCAAACTTGAGAGTGCAAAATCTGCAGCTCTGCACAGAAATCAGCTTCCAGGTTTTATTGTCAAACCTTATTTGAGCAAGTTGAAGTTAAAAAGTGATTGGCTGCCATGCACAGCTGCAACAGATTTTGCACTCTCCAGTTTTAGTAAATCAACCCTATTGACTCATACTTGCTTGACACATTCAAATGTCTGCCAGAAACTCCCACCTTACTGGTGAAGGTAAGTGAAGGGATAATGGAAAATGAAATGGTTCATACCAGGCCCCTGGGGGGACCTCACAAAAAAAAAAGTTGGATCCGCAAAATTCCATACAGTCTTCCATTGATTTTAGGTAGGAACTCCATGAAAAAAAAAAATCAGGCTCCCCCCCCCCAAAATCATTACCAGACCCTTATTCAAGCATGCTGCCTAGCTGGTTAGGAAAAGGGGGGGGTATGTTCCCCTCAAACCATACTAAGTCACATGCCCTCAATATAGGGGGGGTAACTTTCCAGGACTCCCCTGGCAAAGCACCTTGTCTCCATGTTGATGAGCCCAATGGCTTTTAACAAAAGAAGGGCCACCAGATACCACTCCCCCGAGCTACAGACAGTCTAGACCCTGCTGAGTTTTGGATCGATCCTAAATCTCCAGAAATCATCATTGGATCAGAAGAATTATTTGTAGTATCTGGGCCTGATCTTGGATACAGCTCTGTCCAGGGTCTTTCTTCCTGTGCACAAACTCCTGTCTCTCCACTACTACGTATGGATCCTACAATCCAAGAACCACCCAACCATTTGCTTTTGTACAAGGGTTAAGGAACTAATATTAGCCTCATTTGAAGCAGTACCATATGCCCAGTTTCACTCCAGTCTGTTGCAACTCATCATTCTGACAGCATGGGACAAGCAGACTCAGCGTCTATATTGCCTTGTTTGCCTGACTAGCAAAGCCAGACTTGTCCTGGTATGATGGAGAAAATTATTTCTCCTGACAATGTGTAAGGTCTTCACCATGAATGCCAGCCTGCTGGGCTGGGCAGAAATCCTGGATACCCTCTAGATGCAGGGGGCTTGGTTGTCAGAGGAAGTTTGACTACCAATTTAACATCCTGGAATTCAGAGCAGTCTGCTTGTTCCTTCAACACTGGACCTCTTGGCTAGGTCACCTGACCAATATTCAGTTGTACCATGCCATGGCAGTGACCTACATCAACTATCAGGGAGGCACCAGAGGTCACACTCATGAAGCAAGAAGTGGACCTGATGCTGGCTTGAGCAGAACTCCATGTCCTGACCCTGACAGCTGTGCACATCCCAGGCATGTCCCCTGCTGTGGAATGGTCTGCTTAGCCAGATGTTTTTCGAGGTTCTACAACAAACTGAACAGGTTCATCACCAAGACCAGGAATCCCTGGGCCTTCACAGTGGATGTTCTGGTAACTACATGAGATCAATTCAACCTGTTTTTTGCCTTCTCTGTAAAGCTCCTTCCTTACCTACTTTGTCAGATTGAGATAGAGGGCATTTAAGTGTCCCTTATTGAACTGGCCTAGTAGGATGTGGTACTTTGACATACTCAGGCTTCACCATAGGCCCTCCCAGGAACATTCACATCTTCTGTACCATGAGCCAGTCCACCTCCTACTTTTCAGATGCTTTCTCAAATGGCTTGGCTGTTGAAGCCCTGGTATTGAGGGACAGAGGCCTATCAGATTTGATCTTCTTTCTTGAAGTCTGCCATCACATCTGGAAGGCCTGCTTTGCATGGTGCAAGACAAAGAAACTCAGTTCCAGGAAGTACTCCGTGAGACAAATTCTGTCTTTTCTCCAGTGTGGTCTGGATCAACATTTGGGCATGAGTACCTTTAAGGTAATTGTAAACCTTAGTGGGTTTTTTTTTTTAAATAATGTTATACTTACCTGCTCTATGCAGCCCCGATCGTCCTGTTCAGGGGACCCCCACCAGCTCTCCTTGCTCCTCCTCTTCTGTGAGTGCCCCCAAAGGAAGCCGCTTTCTATGGGGGGGTACTCATACAGGCTTGATCCCAAGCCATTCTATCTGCTTCTATAGACACAGACAGCGAGGCTCAGCCTGCCCCGCATTGATTAAAAAAATTCCAGCGCTCTATTGTCAAAACAGTGATCCTACTAAAAAATAAACAATTATTTTATATAGTCATTGTGTCTATACATTAGTGCTCATAAACAAAATGTTTACAATTCCATGCAGCTTCAGCTTTCTCTTCCCACTACTGGATATCATCTTTGTGAAGTACACCACATAAAAATTAGACTCTCACCAGATAACATGACCCATAGAACTCTGTGGGACATATAACACACAATGCAAGTAAAAGGTCAGCCACCTGATGTCACTCTCCTTCTCTCAGACTGACCTTCTAAACATCCATCTGTGTCCCAGGTCACTCCAGAAAATATTATGAAAAAACTAAGAGGTCCCATCCATAGTGTAGTAATTATTGCAATAAAATTAAAAAATAAAAATATGCTTACATGAAACTAATGTACAACAGATCTAATTATCATTATTATTAACAAAAGTGCAAATAACTCTTCCTATCAAGCCAGTTCACCACCGTGCAATACCCCACATGTGAACAGATTCTCACCAGATACTCAGAGCCTTGGATCTCAGTAGGTCTATAGGATCTTGGCCTGGTTTTGTTGGTTGCCCAGAAGTCACCCTATGAGGGATATTCCGCTATCTACCCTTCTTCTCAAGGTTGCCTCCCTCGTTGCTATCACCTCTGTGAGGCAAGTTAGCAGCCTTATACTGTAAAGAGCTCTTTTCACAGAATGATAAGGTTGTCTTGGGTTCTAAGGTCTCTTTTCTTTCTGACGTAGTTTCTTCCTTCCACCATAACCAGGACATTATTCTTCCTTTTCTGTGTTCTACTCCAACACATACCATACTTGGAGGAGGGAATCATTTTCAGTTATACTCTGCAGACTAGCCCTTTGAGTTACAAAGTTCTGACCACTGCACTCTGTGTGTTAGACATTCCTAACCCCTGCACTCTGTGTGGTTACCAGTCCTGACCACTACACTCTGTGCAACAACCATTCCTGGCCCCTGAACTCTGTGTAAAACACACTGCTGACTTCTGCACATTGTGCGTTACGCACTCCTGAGTCATGAATAATGTGTGTTACACACTCCTGAGCCCTGTGTGTTATGGACACTTGAGCCCTGCACATTCTGCATTTTGCACTCCTGTCCCCTGCACTTTCTGCATTACACACTGCTGTCCCCTGCACTTCCTACAATACACACTCCTGAGCCTTGCACTCTGTACATTATGCACTCCTAAACTGTTTCCAGAATGGTTGTACTAAAAGAACATTTAGCTATTCTGCACCAGATTTTGCCCCAGTTTTGCAGTTCCAAGCGTCAAGGAGATCCAACCTTCATTTCTGAACTTATGAAATAGGTGAATGGGGCCTTTGCACATTTAAAATACAGTAAAGAAGCAAAAAAAAGTTTCCAGTAGAATGCAGGCCATTTTGTGTATGAGAACTCAGAATTCTTTGCGAGGCGTGAGATCCAGTATTGAACTTGAAGATAGTGGTAATATTCTGTTCTTGGTGCTTTGTGGTGTTCTTGCAAGGTTTCCCATGCTGGGAAGGAGTGTGAGGTCAGAAAATGGTGTACATGAGTGAAGCCATGAGTAGTCTACCAGGCAACAGAAGAGAATACATATATGTACGGTATCTTTAGTCCGTTTACTGTTACCGACAAATGTCAAATGCATTGCAAATGCATTCAATGCACACAAAGTGGATTTATGTTGTATGTAGCTATTGAGGAATGTATTTAAAATATATTTTTGTGTTCAGAGTTCAACTCATGTTCAGAGTTCACTTTCAAGCATTTTGCTCAAATCCATCCTGTGGAAAAGGAATTTGTGAAAAATTGGGCTATTCTGGTAGTGTATCCTGCCATTTCAGTTACTAATAAACACATTACAATTAGAGATGAGCGAATTATTCAAAAATTCGATTCGGCTGATTCGGCGAATTCGCGGAATAAATTCGATTCGAGTCGAATATATTCGCTGCGAATTTAACTTATAAAAGGGTGTTTCTAGGCTTCAGAGAGCCTTTATATTAGTGCAGAACACTGTACCTTTAATTTAAATGCCCTTGGAGTCTGCTGGGGAAGAGAAATAATACTGTCAGTCAGTATGACATGCAGATGAGTGCCGTCGATCTTAGAATCACCGCACACTTCACTCATTTGGGCAGTCACGGGGCCAAAACCAGAGTGTGGAGCCACAGTGTGGCGGTGGAGGCAGCAGCAATGGGAGGCCATACAGCACCCTATGAAAAAATGGAACCCACCAGCAGTGTGAGGAGACCTGAAAGTGGCACATGGCAGAGTGTGGCGATGGAGACAGCAGCAATGGGAGGCCGTACAGGGACCCATGACACACTCTGGACCTTGCAGCAGCATGAGGAGGCGGTACGGGGGCCCATGACAGATTACGGGCCTGGCAGCAGCATGAGGAGTCGGTACGGGGGCCCATGGCAGATTACGGGCCTGGCAGCAGCAATGGGAGGCCATACAGCACCCTATGACAAAATGGAACCCACCAGCAGTGTGAGGAGACCTGAAAGTGGCACATGGCAGAGTGTGGCGATGGAGACAGCAGCAATGGGAGGCCGTACAGGGACCCATGACACACTCTGGACCTGGCAGCAGCATGAGGAGGCGGTACAGGGGCCCATGACAGATTACGGGCCTGGCAGCAGCATGAGGAGTCAGTACGGGGGCCCATGGCAGATTACGAGCCTGGAAGCAGCAATGGGAGGCCGTACAGGGACCCATGACACACTCTGGACCTGGCAGCAGCATGAGGAGGCGGTACAGGGGCCCATGACAGATTATGGGCCGGCAGCAGCAATGGAGGCCCGTAATCTGCCAGCACCCTATGACAAAATGGAACCCCCCAGCAGTGTGAGGAGACCTGAAAGGGGGCACATGGCAGAGTTTGGCATGGAGACACCCGAAAATGGGGGGCCCCGAAAAAGGGCCCCCTGACACACCGGGCCCCTGGCAGCGGGAAAGGGGAGGCGTACGGGGGCCCAGGGGACAGATTAGGGGCCCTTGGCACAGCATGGGGCGGACCCGGTAGGGGGGCCCCCTTTGGCGGGATTACGGGCCGGGGCAGCGGGCAATGGGGGGGCCGTACGGGGACCCATGACACACTCTGGACCTGGCAGCAGAAAGAGGAGGGGGTACGGGGGCCATGACAGTTTAAAGGCCGGGCAGCAGCATGAGGATTTGGGGGGTACGGGGGCCCCCATGGCAGTTTAAAGGGGCCCTTTGGGGGCAGCAATGGGGGGCCCCAAAACCCAAGCACCCAAATGAAAAAAAGGGAAAACCCACCAGCAGTTTGAGGAGACCTGAAAGGGGTGCGAGGGGGAGGTGTGGGGGGGAAAAACTGGAGGAAGGGGGGAGCCGAACAGGGGAGGCCTTTGGCAGCAGAAAATGGGGGGCCCCATTTCCAACACCCAAAGAAAAAAATGGAACCCACCACAGTGTGAGGGGGAACCTGAAAGTGGCACATGGCAGAGTGTGGCAGGGAAAGACAGCAGCAATGGGGGGCCGGGAACGGGGGACCCTTTGACACACTCGGGCCCTGGCAGCAGCATGAGGAGGGGGTACGGGGGCCCCAAAGACAGATTGGGGCCGGGCAGCACCCATGGGGAGTCGGTAACGGGGGCCCATGGAAGATTAAGGGCCGGGCAGCAGAAAAAGGGGGACCCCCCGTAAATTTTCCCACACCCTAGGGCAAAATGAACCCAAAACCAGCAGTTAAGGGGACCTAAAAGGGTGGCCCCGGGGGGCCAAGGGTGAGGGGTGGAGCCAGCAATGGGGGGGGCCCCTAAGGGACCCATGGACAACATGGAACCCCACAGCAGGGGAAAAAGGGGTAAAGGGGAAAAATAAGATTCGGGGGAAGCCCCCCAATGGGGGGCCCGTACGGGGACCCATGACACATTTGGGAACCGGGCCCGGGAAGCATGAGGAGGGGGTTTAAGGGGGCCCATGACAATTAGGGGCCCGGGCCCGGCAGCATAAAGGAGTCGGTAGGGGGCCCCAAGGGCCCAATTACGGGCCGGGGCCCCCAGCAATGGGAGGGCCATACGAAACCCTAGGGAAAAAAAAGGGAAACCCACCAGCATGTGAGGAGACCTGAAAGTGGCCCATGGCAAGTTTTTGGCGATGGGACAGCAGCAAGGGGAAGGCCGTAAAAGGGGACCCAGGGGCACCCCCCCTCTGGACCTGGCCAGCGGAGGGAGGGGGGTAGGGGGGGCCCCCATGCAGATTAGGGCCCTGGCAGAAAGATGAGGAGTCGGAAAGGGGGGCCCCGGGCAGATTAGGGGCCCTTTGGCAGAAAGAAAATGGGGGGCCCATACAGCCCCCCTATGAAAAAGGGAACCACCACAGTGTGGGAGACCTGAAAGTGG